CCAAATGTTAACGAGGGAAGCTAACATTTTTGGGAGACCCACGAAATTTTTGGAAGGGGTAGCCCCCCCCCCCCCCCACACCCCGATGGGCTAACAGCTAAGGCATGCAAAACATGACTACTCCTCCGGCCACGCCACCAGCGCACTGCATCTGCTGCCCTCGATCTCGCCACTCACGTTCACCATGCCCGGTGGTCCGCACACGAAGATGAGCGAGTCTTCGGAGGGCTTGGGTAGATGGGTCTCGATCAGGGAGGCGTTGACGTGTCCCGTCGGCCCCCTGTCCACCCTTTCCTCCCGCCTTGTCCACCTTCACGCCAGGGAAAATGCCGGGACAAGTCACGTCTTGGAGCGCATGCAAGGTTTTACTCATGCACGGATGATCCCCAATTTTTCTCCACTTGCTTCTTCTCATTTGTTCACCTTTTGCGGGTCCCCACTATTTGTTGAGAACATTTGTGGTCCCCTCAACGTTTGCTCGTGATACTTAAATTTTGGTAGGACTGCTCGAGATACTGAGGCCCTCTCCGAACGCCGACAAGCATATCACTTTGAGGAGGAGAGAGGGGGGTACACCATCGAGAAAGAGCAAGTTGTCACGCAGAAGCAGCGCACAGCGGGACAACCACCGACACCACCATTTCGCTCATCACTACCGGGGGGGAAAACATCCTCATGTGTTCCCGTAATAAAACACGCCCATCAGGTACCTCACGGCACTATGCGCTTGGTGATACAAGAGAGAGCCTGGTCCGATGAGAACCCGGCGTGCCCCGTCCGGGTTTTGTAGGGATGGGAGGTTTACGGCATGCACGGTTATGAGTACCCCCCCCCCCCCCCCTCATGACGATGTCCACTTACGATGTAGACGACGTCGAAGTTGTCCGTGCTCCGCGGCAAGCTTGTCGATCTCAGCCTTGAGCATGATGTCGGCCGTGGTAGCGTTGGCGAAGAGGAGGGTCACCTTCGTCTTGTCCTCAGGGTTCAGCAGCAGCTCCTGCAGCACCTGCAGCATCGGTGTGATGCCTGCATTTTTCGGCGTTGACAAATATGTCGCGTGCAAAGTGTGTGTGGGGAGTTTGCGGTGAATCCTAGGCAGCACCTGCAGCATCGGAATAAAACCTGTTTTTGGTGTTGATTTATGGTATGCCGCGTGCAAAGTGCAGGCGGGGAGTTCGTCGAAAATCCCAGGCAGCACCTGCAGCGTCGGTGTGATGCCTGTTTTCTTTCCGTGGTATTTGTTCGTCGTGTGGCGTGTGTGTGGGGGTGTCAAGTCCTAGGGAGAGAGAGAGGTAAGTGTCGTCGACAGACAAGCCAACAACAAGCACAAAAAATAATGAAGTAGATCGATAAGAACAACACCAAGATCCCGAAGACAATTACTATGCTACAGTTTGCAATGCTCGAATGAAAATGAGCGCGTTGGTCCAACCAAACGGAGGTTACTGGAAATAAATACACCCATCACACGGCCAAAAAAATGATAGGAGAAATGGGGCACCGACAAATCCAAGATTGCCTTGAAGAACAGAATCTACGCAGAGCGAAAACAACCCTCCCTTTTTCGTCGTTGGGATATGGCGAGGATTGGAATATTCCAGCAGCACAAGCCGTACCTTCTTTCTATCCGTTCGTGGCGCCATCATACCGAGACACAAAAACAACGTAAAAAACCAACTGGGGAAGCAGCCGTGGCACACGGCAACTATGACCACCAAGAATACGATGCCCGAACTTAGACGACTCACCAGTCCCGCCTGCGATCATCCCGATCTCCTTCTTAACGTTGGGCGAGTAGTCGAACTTGGGGAACGGTCCCTTCACCTGAACAGCCCAGCAGCGCACCCGGCCCGTCAAGCACCCCCCCCCCGGTACCGGAAAAAAGCGACACCGTCATCGCCGCCGTCGCCGCCGCACGCAACAGGGGATATTTTCACCACATCCGTCGCACCCAAAAAAAGGACAAGTTGTTGCAAAAGAAGACGAGAGTTGGCGTGAGGAGATGTGATTGTGAGGAGAACAAAATCCTTCAAATCGTACGCGAGTTACCATCAAACCCGAACCGTGACATACCAGCCCAACAACTCTTGGACAATCAACAAGGGGCCTCGACTCGGAAAGCGACGGGGGGCCCAAACACCCGGGAAAATGTACCAAAACGTACGCGTAGGTTTTCGCGGTTTACCGGCTCGAATTTCCTGCGGGAAGAGGGGACCCCAGGAAACGCGCATCGCGTTCCCGCGTTCAACCCTCCCTTTGCGACAAAAACCGCACACGTGGCGGGACTCGCCATCTCTAGACGCAAACCAGCAGCAGACCCCAAACCAAATGCATGCTGTACGCTGGTGAAGGTTACACAGCGAGAGGGGGGGGGGGGGGGGGGGGGGG